GGGACATGTGAAATCAGATCAGATATAGAGTACTCACGGCGATATACTCTCCAAGCGTAGAAACTAATGAGATTGTACAGTGATTTCAGATTTTGCGCTCAACACTAGAGAGTAGGAGTATAAGTACCTCTGAACGATTGATGCGACAGTGAGCTATGATATCAATGACGATAAGAACTGCAGTGAGGAGAATGTTAACAGTACATTGATTGTTACAGAAGCCTGCCAACGATCTCAGTATGTGCATTGGACACTTAAACCAATCCACGTACTGCAGATCCCCTAGAAATGAAGGGTTAACCGTCATCCAGGCAGACTATGGCATAAGACTGACACAGGAAGATTGAGGGCTAGTAACATGTTCTCGGGCAACTTGCATGCAATATAGAAATAGTGTACTGCCTGGATCAGGAATGCCACATGTATACCTTCGATGGTGCTAATGACTCAGAATTGATATCCACGAATTTCGAAAAATTATCCTATAGAACTCACGCAAGTACTAAGACCTGTGGATGCCAGATAATGCTTGACAAATGAAAGACGCAGAGGGAAGCAACTCACTAATGCTTTCAAGAACTTATGATCACCAGGATATGTGCGGAAGTAATATATCGTTTGTGAGCACATAATACCAAAATGTCTGACTCATGGAAGTTAGTGAGGAACAAATGCAGGAAAATGTCCATACACCGAGTCAACCATCAGGGCTAGATACTAGTTAAAAATGACAGGAAGGTTGAGCCGTTGATTGAAGAGTACTTACCTACAAGGAATGGGTCGTTTATGGTCCTTGCATTAGACATTGGTGGTAGTTCAAGGTTGACGGCTACTTGCACAGTAGAATCAAGGTGGACAGTGTTAGGTCTTTTTTAACTATTAGATGACTCAGAAGTTGATTGAATTGATCGTCTACGATGACTTCGGAAAGTAAGTCACCTTGTCACATCTTAATCTTTAATGGGAAGAAAGACCCAAAAAGAACAATGGAGCATGTGATGAAACCGAAGATGAAACATGAATGCCTGAGTGGATGCCACTGGAACTAATGCAGGAAAAGTGCCATACGCTGAGTCAACCATTATGGCTAGATACTAGTTAGAAATGAAAGGAATGTTGAGCTGTTGATTGGAGAGTACTTGCCTACAAGGAATGGGCCATTTCTGGCCCCTGCATCAGACATTGGTGGTGGTTCGAGGTCGAGGGCTACTTACACAGTAGAATCAAGGTGGAATACAGTTGTTAGGCTTTTTTGAACTATTAGATGACTCAAAACGTTTACGATGACATCAGAAAGTGAGTGACCCTTGACACATGGTGGATTTTTGATGGGAAAGAAGACCCAAAAAGAACAATGGAGCATTGGATGAAACTGGAGATGAAACACTGGAACTTGAACGCTTGAGTGGATGGAGCATTCTTGAAACTGCCACGGTCAGGCATCACCGCAGTCGTTCAGGTTGAGATCCTGTCCCGACCCAAACGGAACCACTCACTTGATCGACATTCACACCTAGATGGAGGATGGACCTAGCACTGGCCCTGAACCTCTCTCTTGAAACAGCCTATGTATAGCCGCATCTTATCGATATCCTCATTTTCCCTTTCATGTTGAATCTTCACATTGAGAACGCATATCAGCCTGGTGGTGAGGCATCTCGCTGCCCTTGGACAAGTAAGAGACCATTCATTGATTCTTCGCAAGATTACAGATGCTCACCATCTTCCATCTCCCATCGTGGAGTGTGACAATCCCCTTGTTTAATAGAATGCACCTTTCCCTAACGACCATTGGAGCCTTTATATGTTGGAGTGAGTATATCATGCCATCAAAGGAAAAATTCCCGTGTGGATGCCAAGCACCATCGCAAGCTACTAATTTTGATTCCTTGTTAGCCATATCCTTCCGTCTCTCCGCTTTTGTTGCTCCAAGTTTCAGAACTTGTCACGGGACACAACTAAAACAAACTCATGTTTGCTCACAAGTTTTTAATAGACACCCTTAGTAGGAGATCCTTTTTGATATTCTTATCTGTTGAGTCACCAACTGCACCCAAAAGCGCCCGGGGAAAGTTATACGTTCCATGACTTCTGCAGAACATGTACCCATTGGCTCCTCTTCCGCAGCTTTTTCGTGGAATGGCTAGAGCTCTGGCCTTCTGGAGTAGTTGACGAATGAACTTGTGGCTCTGTTTCGAATCATGAATACCGTTATTTGATAAACTAAAGACAAAATGACACTTACTTCAGGCATGAAATAGATAAAATACGAATAGGCCTTGAAAGGCTTTTCAAGCAGGGAGCACCGAAGCAAAGCGTTACGCAGTTCGCGTTTAACATCAGCCTACGTGTGGAGGAATATGGTTACGATCTCATAGGTCCTCCCACCATTGCTCATTAGCCTCGGTTGTCACTCGCATGTATAATTGGACTTACACTGTTGTCTCTCCGCCCGAGGAATGATATAAGAGTGATGAAGAACACGGCCAATCTTTTGCTGTCCACAGACAACGCAGTGCTTGTTTCGGAACTCTTGCTCGTTGATGGTGGTAAACATGGGTTTTAACGCACCGCACGTGCATTCAACTGACGAGTGATGGTTGACAACTCGTTGAAGGTAGCGATGAGAGGAAAGTTGAATAACAATAAATTGTCATGATTGCACCCTGTGGATCGGCGTGTGGTGCTGAAAAAAGAACGAAAAAAATGAAGATCGGCTTGAAATTTCGATGTTGAGGAATATGAGAACCGTGCTATATGTTGGTTCGGTATATATGATACAGCTTCAGCCATTGGATTGTATGATTCCAGATCATAACAGACAGTTAAGACGCGTGCACGACGAAAAAAAGAAAATCGAAAGAAAGCTTGCTGGCCGGTGCTTTGTGCCGCCATGTCGTGTGGCAGCTGTTTGATCCGATGGTCGACTTTTCAGGGAGCTTGTTCCGGAACTATTCCTTTGCCTGGCTTCTTGGACTACGATAAATTCCGGTATCTGCTGTTGTCCTGGCCGCTTGTTTGCCCTTTGCAGACCACGATTCCAACACGATTCGCTCTCACGCGGTGATTTACTCTATAACCTAGTCACCCATAAGCCTTTGCATGGTATCGGAAACTTCGCAATATACTCTCTGAAATATACAAACTTTTTCCTTAAGATTGAACCATGATGTAGTGTGCAACCACGCTCTACCAACACGATTCTGAGCTTACTTGGCCCTACCAATGCTTCAAAGGAGCCTCACTAGCGCGTGCTTGTACCCTGCTCCCGTCTCCGATATTGTGGGTGCTCCGTCAATTGTCCGTGTCCTCTGGTTCGAATTCATGGCACTCGCTAGATTATATGGTGAGATGGCCGAGCGGTCCAAGGCGCCAGACTAAGGTGAAGTTATGGGTTATTTGCCGATAATCTGGTCTCTTCGGGGGCGGGAGTTCGAATCTCCCTCTCATCATGAACTCAAAGGGTGGACTTATCTATATATATTTTTCCCCTCGATTCATTCTCACACATCCATGTAGAAAAGCCTTGGCTCTCCGAAATCTGATGCTCTGTATAATACGGTCAAGCTCTTGGGAATGGTAAGCGCGTTTTTCGTGCAATAATCTTATCAATATTTTCACTTCTCGGGGGTTTTTACACTTATTTTTCCTGGACGATATCGCCAAGCACCGAATGAAGAACTCGAACTCGGCAGACTCGGAGATGGACACAAATGCAACAGCGCCCATGTCCTCTGCCTCTTCCCACGTTATTTGACCCCACGAAGACATCAATCACGCATTGTGGAACATCAAGGACGAACCTCTACAAAGAATGGTACCTCGACAGATGAGGATTCAACGTATTTTCATCTACTTCGTCTACCACCTATTTTCAGCCGTTTTCCATTGCATTTTGATTTCTATTCAGGCTCCGATTATCTCCCTTCTCTCTATCACGTTACGTTAACTCTCCTACCCCTCCAGATTACTACTCCCAATTCGAACGGCCGCTTCCCGTGGCTCCACTCGAGTCCGCCATCTTCAAATTTCCTCACCCGCAACCACCTTGGTCATGTTTCCAAAAGTCAAGTCTTGAAGGCACTTAACCCCAACCGGCGTGCCGTAGCGCAACTATTCATTTGCTCATCGCTAGAGGCACCGGCTCCTAATTATGAAAGGTTATGACACCGCAAGTATTTCATACATTGGATTCCTAGAGAATTCCCACCTTCTCCACACCCTTCCTCTCCGAAATGGATATTCACGCGTATCAGCGGGATTTCCCCTATCGGTATGTGGATGGGCATGAGCAGTCGATGTGTATTGAGAGGTTGATGAGGACGAACGAAGGCATTCCAGAAAGAGCGGTATTCGAGGGTCTGAATCCATGAGAGCTGATTCTCAGAAGAAGTAGGGATTTTCCCAGTAATTTCAACAATACCACCTTTTGCCTTATCGAGACCACCGGCGACCGCAGTAATACTGGCAGCAACGGCATCACTACCAAGCACCATCAAGATCAGATCCTATTTACTAGGTTTGTGGACATGATCTTACGAAGCAGCGGTAGCGGAGGCTACTAGAGAACCTCCTACGAGGTTCGCGGTTGGTAGATAATATGGGACCATACTTACGCTGACGATAACTTGATGTCTTCGCATCGTGATGGCAAATTCGTTGAGTCTGGAGCCATCCAGAAGGAACTGGAATTTGGGGTTCGTGAGAGCACATAGCCTATACTATGAAGTAAAATCTCGACCACTTACATCCTTGACTTCAATCCGACTACCTTAAGTCCTTGACATTTGTGGCATTCTTACAGAGGCCTGAGTCATCTATCTCTAGGCAGTCAGTTTCAGTCTCCCGAAGAGGGCTTTCTTCGATGTCTCTCCTTCTTAGACCATTTGCTAAGTGTCGGCATCCTTCCTAATTCTCCAGTCAATCCAGTTGAATTTAGACATGAAGCAAGACATCGAGTGACCTTACTTAAGATAGGGAGCAAATGCACTCAATCGACATGGTTACGTCATGGAGGAAATGGATGATTATTGAATTTTATCTAGTGGCAAATGGACACATCCATCACTAACCGGGTTACTTCTACATTATCGCTCTTCTCCTGATTTCATCAATATGTCACTCGTTTCCAACTTCAAGCCACGCATATGCACTAAGGAGCGTATCTCGTTAAGCCAAGCGAGGTATCGAGGTTCTCAGGCTGTCTGATATGTTCTCCAAAACGACTGTTCGAATGTTGACTTCTACAGACACAGAAGGCATACCAGATGTGTAGGAGAGTCAGCTGAGCGCTGGTGAGCGACAAGAGACACTAGTCAGGTTCGAAGTCCGATGGCAACACGTCATAATGTAGCGTCGCGAGCACCCAATCGAGAATCTCTCG